TGATGTGAACCAGTCGTTCTGCTTTATGGCACAGGCGAGAGAGGCTTGTGTCACATTCTGAAATTGAATTTCCTCAAATGTTTGTTCAACACTCGAAGGTCCAATATAGGGCGGGGGGGCGCCACGCCTTTTGGAACATGAAAATACCAGGAATAAAAACCATGGTTTATCAGATTGGGTGGCACCATCTGAATCGCTCCCTTGTTAGGAGAGAGGAAATTTCCTCTTTCAGAATGTGTGAGGCGTTTTCTTCTGTGTGAGAAGAGAGAACGCCGTTGAAATGCGGAGGTCGTATTGCAAACTGCACCTTTTAACCCTGGGTTACAGTACGCAAAAACTCACCTCGGGCGCTGAAACGGCTTGCCAAGCCGCTTTGTGACTCGCGAGCGCCCCCGCTCGGGCCGGAGCGGAGCTGTATGGGCCCAGCTGGTTCATTTGTGATGCAAAGGCGCCATCTAGTGGGAACACTAGAGGCGACATGCAAGGGTTTGGAGGGATTTCCTCTCTCTGCAGTGAGAAGTTTTCTTTGCGGAGAGAGGTCTTCTCTCCAAAACGAATTCATTTGATTCGTAGCTTTGTGTGTTTTGTGTTGGGCAAACACTGGGGCCGAAGCCTTTATTGACAGAGTGAGGGAAACATAGTGTGGTGTCCACTGTGCTGAACTTTCCCTCACAAGGTGCCCCCAAAAGTGGGAAAAACACATATCTCCTGAACACATGAACTGGGCAGTCTCAAGTGCAGGCAGAAAAATAATATCCGCGGAGAGAGAAACTCTCTCTGTAACGGATTTATTTAATGCGGTTTTTTTTTCAAGTGTTATTTAGTTATGTGTGTGTTTTGTGTTGGGGAACACAGGGGCCTTACACACACAACGTCCACTAAAAACACATCGGCTGGACAGCCGCAACTGAGCTGTGTGAGCCCAGTTGGTTGATTTATGAGGCAATGGCCACCTCTTGTGGACGGACTCAGGGCGACATGCATGGGATCAGAGAGATTTGCTCTCTATGTTGCCGCTGGCAGATATATAAATCTGCACGAATTCATTTGATTCGTTTATTAAATGTGTTGTTTAGTAATGTGTGTGTTTTGTGTTGGGAAACACTGGGGCCGAAGCCTTTAATAACTGGGTGAGGGGAACCAAGTGCGTGCGGTGTGGTAACACTGCTATGTACTTTTCCTCACGACAGCCCCCTCCCCCGTAACTTGTTGTTGTGGGGGGGAGGGGGACACACACACACAACGTCCACTAACATACGGGCTGGGCAGCCACGAGAGGGGATTAACCGACCGTAGGTGGGAGACCCTGTTAGTTAACGTTACTCCCAATGGTCGAACAACAGGCAGGCCGCTTGCGTTCGGGACCGCCTTCCTAGGAAGGCATAAATTGAAAACCTCAACACGTAATCGTAACAAATCAAGGCCCGTGAGACCGTGTTAACAGTCTGGCGGGACGCTCCAGCCGTTCAGACTGGGCGGTGGTCCCAGCGTTTACCCGTCGTACATATTCCTATCCTGGTCGGTGGCGCTCTGTGGAGCTGGCCACACAATGTTGAGACGAACGGCCGCTCGCTCACAAACTTCCAGGAGGATGGACGGAGGCAAAGCCGCGTGAACGCAAGCCTAGGGAACGCTAAAAGGACCGCGTCATCCCCGTCGCCGGAACCGACCGGTTCGTCAACGAGAGTGAGGTTTTCCCGCGAAGATGTCCTCTTCAGGGAATGCGGATTGGGCTGATGTCAGCTCAAATATTTTAGAGAGGTGGCGCTCCGGGAGTCCCCCGGTAGCGCGTCATCATCACCGTGTCTCTCCTCCGAGTCAGAAAGGCCGAGCACGGCGCGCTGTGTCGTGCAACTAAAAGCCAGCTTAGTAAAAGCTACATGGGCAGCAATTACAATGACCGCAATTCCCCGGGTTCTCCAAAGCTTGAGCGTGTTAAGCCCAAGGAGATCGCGCAGAACGAGAGGGTCCTTATAGCGGCGATGAGAGCACCACACGCGGCCGGGCAGGCTCGTCGTGATAGGCTGTTCCCCGGGGGAAGCGGCTGTTTAGACGGTCACATAGCCATGGGTGGGCCAGCGGTGAAGAACTCGGAAAAATCCGTGGCGGGCAGCCATGTAAAGGAGGAGCAGGTGAAGGACAGCGAGAGCTCGGGCGGCTCCGGATGCAAAAAACACAGCGGATAGGCTGAAGAAACGACTGTCACTCACGTCTGGCGGAGGCTGATCTGGCGATATGTCCTCCTGAAGACTCGAAAGTGAGCAGCGTAACGTTAATCCAACCGAACTGTGTCAATGCAGAGATCGCGAGAAGCGAATGTCAACTGAGGAATAGCAGCGCGCCCAGCTGTGATATGCCCGTAGGTAAGGGGGTGTGGCCTCACCTGGCATTGGCTGCGCGCTTCTGTCTGTTAGCCAGACTTGGTGCAATTGGATGCTTCTGCAGAGGTCAGGTACGGATGCCCTTCCCATAGGTGGATCTCGAAACGAGATGATGAAAGAGAACCACATCATATATCTGAAGAGACTCCCTCAAATCTTCAAGAGTCTTTTCAGTTAATTTGATAAATTCTTTATGAATGGACCCGCAACTTTACAGCTATTTTTCAATCTATGTCATTGAGTATGTTTACATGTACACTCATAATGTAAATGTATCATAATGTAACTTTACCTCATGTAAACACAATACACCAATCGAACTACTACGATTAAGCTCATAATCCTAGTAACCATAATCGCAGTTCAAACGGGTTGAGTTAGGCAGGTCATTCCACCAGCTTGGAACAGTCTGGGTAAAGTTCAGTGAAAGTGATTTTGTGCCTCTTTGGGATGACATCACAAGGCGCCGTTCACTTGCAGAACTCAAGGCTCTGGATGGCACGTAGGTCTGAAGTTATTAGTTAAGGCAGGGATGGGCAACTTCGGTCCTGGAGGGCCATTGTCCTACAGAGTTTAGCTTCAACCCCAATCAAACACACCTGAACAAGCTAATCAAGGTCTTCAGGATTACTAGAAAGTTACAGGCAGGTGATTTTTTCAGGGTTGGAGCTAAACTCAGAAGGACAGTGGCCCTCCAGGACCGACGTTGCCCCTCCCTGAGTTAAGGTATAGGGGTGCAGACCCAGTAGTTGTTCTGTATGGAAACATCAGTGCCTTGAATTTGATGTGAGCGGCAACTGGCAACCAGTGCAATTTTGTAAGGAGAGGTGTGACGTGTGCTCTCTTCGACTCGTTAAAGACCACTCTAGCGGCAGCATTCTGGATTAGACGTAGAGGTTTGACTGATGCTGGAAGGCCTGCAAAGAGAGCATTACAGTAGTCCAGTCTGGATAGAGCAAGCGCTTGGACAAGGAGTTGTGAAGCATGCTCCGATAGGAAGGGTCTGATCTTCCTAATGTTATATAAGGTAAAACTGCAGGACCGGGCAGTTCTTGCAATGTGGTCTGTGAAGTTCAACTGATCATCAATCACAACTCCAAGGTTCCTGGCTGTCCTGTTTGGAGTTATGGTTGATAAACCTAGCTGAATGGAGAAGTTGTGATGTAGTGTTGTGTTAGGTGAGAGACCACAAGCAGCTCTACCTTTGCAGGGTTTTGTTGAAAGTGGTGGTCCTTCATACAGCAAGAAATTCCTGTCAGGCAGGCTGAGATGCGAGCAGCTGCCGTTGGATCCTCTGGTTGGAATGAGAGGTAGAGTTGTGTGTCAACAGCATAGCAGTGATAGGAAAATCCATGTTTCTGAATAATAATAATAATAATGTTAATTCATTACATTTATATTGCGCTTTTCTCAGCACTTAAAGTGCTTTCCATAGAAGGGGGAATCTCCTTAACCACCACCAATGTGCAGCATCCACCTGGATGATGCGACGGCAGAAATACTTGACAGCGAATGGCAGATCCTAGTGATGACATGTAGATGAAGAGAAGTGGTCCAAGCACTGAGCCCTGAGGCACACAAATATCTAGATGTTGCGACTTGGACACCTCACCCCTCCACAACACCCTGAAGGACCTTCCAATTCTTAGCATAATCAGAATAATAAAAAATTGCATGTATACGGGAGTGAAGAGGTTTGCTCTGTCATGTAAACATCTTACTGCTATTAAGTCCTTACTCTGATTATTGAGAATAATTGCATTAATTGTGCACATGTAAACATAGTGACTTAACCTCTCTCGGTGATGGCCGATTGACCTCTACTTTGGCTTCCTCATTGAAAGGAGAGCAGGAAAACTGATCAATCACCTGATTAAAGTGGGCAGGATTAAGGCAAAGTATAAAGTATAAAGGCCTGGGTATATTTCACTTTTCATGTTCAATAATTTGCGTTGCTTTCATACTCAATTGACTGAGAGTGGATGGATGCGCACAGTAACGAATCAGTGTCGTAAACAGTTTTTGGAACCATTTGCAAAGTTTATTACATTTATAAATGGAACTAAGTTCAAACTCAATCCAATAATCAACGTAATATTCTAGGACTCAAAGACTCAGTAAAGACTTAAAGACAAGCAGATCAATCCAAGCAACACTGTAACATGTGCCTTCAAAAGACGAAATGCTATGCAGCGACAATGGCTTTATACCCTCAGTGCTCAGGATCTGTGCATGTGAACAAGCTAGAGTGTCTTATATAGAATACATGTTACATGATTAATATTACAGTATACCTAAATAATGCCACAAGCAAAGCTAAAACACCTGTTACTCAAGCGTGGCAGTTTATGCACCTATACTTTGTTTCCATTTGTTACCATCCCTCTAGTTGTCTAAAACAGGAATTTTCTAAGCCAGAGCAAATAGATAACAGCCTCTCCGTGGGCCTAAAATAGCATGTGTACAATCCATGTTCTCTTCAGCTATCCTGTTCATCATGATGCTATTATTATAATACCACATGTGTACATACACTTTAAGGCCTCAATTCCCTTAGTTTGTCTGTCTATCTTGTTTAATGTTATTCAAAGTATATTATTATATGCACTATTCTAACAGCCAGGGTCTCCAGAAGATCACCACCCTGGAGGAATATGGTAAATGTCATTTTGCATTAGGAGTATCAGTTTGGAGTTTGTATCTGAAGTTCATGAGTGCATGTACACCTAACAGTTCTGACACCTGAATGAATACTGGCTGACATTTGTGAGTGCAATAAATATTGAATGACAGTAACACTTGATGGTTCCCTTTAGACATTCTGTTGACTAGAAGTGCCTATAAGTCAACTAACTCTCACTAGATTATTAGTAGACGGTCTGCTTAATATCTGCTATCAATTTATTTTGATGCTCCCCAACAAACTTTCTGCTGACTACAAGTAACTTTGAAAGTACATCATGTCAACTTATTTTACTAACCCTAATCTAACAGAGTCTACTAATACTCTAATGAGAGTTAGTTTACATGTAGGAGCAACATTACTTATAGTCAGCAGAATGTCTTAAGGGGACCATCAAAATGACCAAAGAGTAACCTGAATGACTTTCTGCCACAAGCCGAGACACACACATTGGGCAATCTAACCGTCTCCATTGACTTTGTATTGTGTGAAGCTGCCTCCTTGTCATTTCTGACTTTCTGACAAAAGTGGATACAGGCAATTGAAACAGAGCGCAAGGTGTCATATTGCTCTGAGAACTACCTTACGCCCACTGGAGGGGAACGTAATCGGCGACAGGGATAGCTTAGCTTACAGAATAAAATATAATTTGGATATTTGACGTACCAGTGACAAAAAGTTTACTCCACACGTAGTGTATTTTTAGTGCATAGTGAGTGTCAGGATCCCACAATGTACCCATTCGTTCCAGCTGATCCTTCACATCTTATTGCCTGTATCCACTTTTGTGTCCTTAAACGCTTGTTTTTTGGTGTTGACAGCTTATAAAAACATATTTCTGGGGTTCACCCTGTCACATAGCAGCTTTTAGACATTTTTTTTATTTTTGTTATAAGTCAGAAATGACAAGGAGGCAGCTTCACGCAATACAAAGTCAATGGAGACGGTTGGATTGCCCGGTGGGCGTGGTTTACAGATTATGATGCGTGTCACTCTGTCTCTATAGGCCTAAAATAGTTCAGAAATAATAATATTTGTCCTTGCTCAACATAATGATTTTATTTGGTTGAATTTCTGTTCCATTCAGTTAATTTCCTATAGAGCCCCTAAAGGGACATGGTGAAGGGAACAAATATGAGATGGAGGAAAAATTATTTGTCAATGCTTTTGCTTTCTCTCACAATTGTTTTGCATTCCTTCGAGAAACTTTGCGTTCGCTCGCAAAGAGCTCAAAACATTTTGCGAGTGAATGTAAAGTTTCTCAAGTGAATGCAAAGGTTTTGCGAGCGAACGCAAAGTTTCTCGGGGGAACGCAAAATGCTGATTCTTTTCCCTCCCATCTCATATTTTCCACCAAGTCCCTTTATAGAGGCTCCCTAAATTTCCACCATTTTTTGTGCAGGTCCAGAAGAAATCGTTCTGGAGGGGACAGTACAGAGACCACCCAAGAGAAGTGTTTTGCTCCTCGTTTTATACAAGTGCCACAAGATCTTACTGTTGAAGAGGGACGATTCTGCAGGATTGATTTTAAGGTAGGGATGAAACAGTTTTGACGATAAACCATGATAAAAATTCCCGACGGTTAGTATTTCGGTTTCATATTTTAATTATCATTAAAACCGTATTTGATTATTGCGATTTAAATACCGTTCAGCATTAAGCAAAGTTAGCAACAGTTTCACACAGCATAGGTTTTGTGTGAAAACATGAAGGAAGGCAGAGTGCTGAGAAAAATTATATGAAAGATGAATTTTATCACTGTATCTCTTAAGGCCCGTACACACCGGGACGAATATCGGCGCGCGTTATTCGCCAGCGTTTTTCAACGCGTTTTTTGTGTTCACACCCAAGCGATTTTCGCTGACGATGAGCCGAATGAGCCGAGTGAACATGCCAATTCATTCCCTGACATTAGATGGCGCTTAATGTAAAACAGAAATAGTCCTATTTTGTAGTCGCTGTCGCGTTTGTCATATAGTTCTTTATGTTCCGACACCAACGAGACCAGCAGCTCTACATTCATCTTGCCTCGCATCTTCCTCGTCTTATTTCTCCTCGGCAGTGTAGACGCTACTTGGCGTATATCTTCTTCGCCGTTACGTATGTGTGCTCGGCAAGACCGTTTTGTGTTTGAGCGCCCCCAAGTTGTGTTTTACTGTAACTTCAGAAGCTCCAGACACGTGAGCAAAAGCGCCAATCTCATTGGTCGGATAGTTTTTGATGCGGCGCGTCAAACCAAAAAAAACGAACCCGAGGCGTTTAAAAAAAAAAAGACGCTTTTACGCATGCCGTTTTTCGCGTCGGTGTGCACACTCACATTGGCGCCCTTTGTTTAGTCACGAGGCGTTAAACGTCGGCGAATATTGCGCACGAAATTCGTCCCGGTGTGAACAGGCCTTTAGGAGGAACCGACTGTCTTTAGAAAAGTTTTGATGGCAACCAAGATAGATGCAAGGTTAGGTGGAGTCTAACAGAGTCTAGAGTTTATGAAAAATTTTAACCGAACTAAAATTGTAACAAAAATCTTAATGTGTGTTAACGTCATTTTCAGATGATTTCAGCTTGTAAAAAAGCGTTCACGTCTTCATAGAGATTAAAATTACAGCTTGTAAGATGGGAATTTTCTGAGATCTCCTACTTGCACCATGAGCGGCTCCAAACAGAACGTTACGTATTGTCATCACGAGACTACGGTCATTACAACATGGTGTGAACGCAGCATTAGTAGACCAACATCTAGCTTTTCCTAATTTTTTCCTGCAGGTTGTTGGTTTGCCAACCCCAGATATTTCTTGGTATCTGGATGGGAAACCCATCCGACCTGATGATTACCATAAGATGCTAGTGTGTGAGAAAAGTGTCCACTCCTTCATTATTGAGATAGTGACCATTCATCATGCTGGTGTATATGAATGTGTTGCAAAGAACCGTGCTGGAGAGAGCCACTTCTCCGTGCGCTTGGATGTGATTGGTGAGCAGTCTTTTCTTACCTGTATAACATTACCTGTAAACTTTTATCTTCTCTAATAGTGTGCTTGTGTTGTAATTTCAGTGTTTTTTTATTTTGAAATAAAGTGCCTTGTGAAAGTATTTATTGTTTCATATGTTGCAACCTTATGCTGAAATGCTTTATTTCTTTCACATAAATATGCATACTGTACTTCATAGATTCATTAAAAAGCAAACACTGCCTTTCCAAATCATATTCAATCATGTTGTTAAGTTTCAAGTGCCACACAAAAGGGTTTGAATGATTATGCAATATAATTATTTTATTTTTTACTAAATTTGCAATGTTATCACAAATCAGATTTTTGCTTTGTCATTATGGGTTATCGAGTGTAGTTTGATGAGGGAAAAAAAGAAGAAAAAAAAACATTTAAAGCATTATAGAATCAGGTTGCAACATGAAGAAAAATGTGGAAAAATCGAGGGGAAAAAATACTTTTGCACGGCAAACAGTTTCCAGTCATTTTATCAGATGATGGAATGTTTGATCATGATTTTGTTTTCCACTGCATTTGTGCATTGGTAACTACTCTGAATATTAAACAATAACCACTGTCTTACCTAATGCAACATAATTACACTCACCTAAAGATTATTAGGAACACCTGTTCAATTTCTCATTAATGCAATTATCTAATCAACCAATCACATGGCAGTTGAAAGAAAGGTGATTTAAAGTAACACTATATAGTTTTTCAACCTTCATAATATATTTCCAAGACCCTTGTGATGGTACATCGACTTACAATAGGTTAAATGACACGTCTGCCATAGCCTGACGGGGTCTGTATCGCTTTTACTTGCACTATGTAACTTTGGGTTTCGGGTAGTAACCCGAGGACAAAAAGAACTACAAAATTCGACTGCTTTACGGCATACGTCACTTCCCCCACCACTTCCTCAAATTGTCTGTGGCCATTGCAGACATCCCAAGTCTCCCGGGAGTCTCCCGCATATTGATAGCGTCTCCCTGATGCCCGCAAATTAGTTCAAATCTGCCGGAATCTAGAGTGCGCATGCGAGACAGAACATACTGCGCGCATAACATACATAGCGCGAGCACGTCAGAGAGGGAGAGAGCGAGAGACCTTGCGAGTGTGCCTCACTCGCAAGGTGTGCACACTTTGCACACCTTGACTTCTTGCAGGTTGGGATGTTTGCCATTGTTGATTCCAAAGCGGGTGCTGGATAAACAGCGAGCGTGCGCGTGCGACAGTAGGCTGCGGAAGGCTAAATTATTTACGACAGCGGTAATGGACAATTCTGCTTCCAACCTGTATGGCGACCGCTGAGGAAAAGTTACTTGGTGTTGCTTTAAGCAATTTTGAGCGTGGCATGGTTGTTGGTGCCAGACGGGCCGGTCTGAGTATTTCACAATCTGCTCAGTTACTGGGATTTTCACGCCCAACCATTTCTAGGGTTTACAAAGAATGGTGTGAAAAGGGAAAAACATCCAGAATGCGGCAGTCCTGTGGGCGAAAATGCCTTGTTGATGCTAGAGGTCAGAGGAGAATGGGCCGACTGATTCAAGCTGATAGATGAGCAACTTTGACTGAAATAGCCACTCGTTACAACCGAGGTATGCAGCAAAGCATTTGTGAAGCCACAACACGCACAACCTTGAGGCGGATGGGCTAAAACAGCAGAAGACCCCACCGGGTACCACTCATCTCCACTACAAATAGGAAAAAGAGGCTACAATTTGCAAGAGCTCACCAAAATTGGACAGTTGAAAACTGGAAAAATGTTGCCTGGTCTGATGAGTCTCGATTTTTGTTGAGACATTCAGATGGTAGAGTCAGAATTTGGCGTAAACAGAATGAGAACATGGATCCATCATGCCTTGTTACCACTGTGCAGGCTGGTGGTGGTGGTGTAATGGTGTGGGGGATGTTTTCTTGGCACACTTTAGGCCCCTTAGTGCCAATTGGGCATCGTTTAAATGCCACGGCCTACCTGAGCATTGTTTCTGACCATGTCCATCCCTTTATGGCCACCATATACCCATCCTCTGATGGCTACTTCCAGCAGGATAATGCACCATGTCACAAAGCTCGAATCATTTCAAATTGGTTTCTTGAACATGACAATGAGTTCACTGTACTAAAATGGCCCCCACAGTCACCAGATCTCAACCCAATAGAGCATCTTTGGGATGTGGTGGAACGGGAGCTTCGTGCCCTGGATGTGCATCCCACAAATCTCCATCAACTGCAAGATGCTATCCTATCAATATGGGCCAACATTTCTAAAGAATGCTTTCAGCACCTTGTTGAATCAATGCCACGTAGAATTAAGGCAGTTCTGAAGGCGAAAGGGGGTCAAACACAGTATTAGTATGGTGTTCCTAATAATCCTTTAGGTGAGTGTACATGCAACACAATACATTAGTGACCACAGACATATGACACGATGATTGTGAAAATACATGTAACTGTCGACTGTATCTCCTCAGCTCATGAACAGTTGTGTCCTCCCACATTTGTGGTGAAGATGAGGAACTCTCGAGCTCTGGAGGGAGACGGCGTCAGGCTCGAGTGTAAGGTGACTGCGTCTCCAACCCCGCAGCTGTACTGGAAGAAAGACAAGGAAATGCTGCGGATTGACCCCATGAGAATGAGGTCTGTGTCACCATTATGGACACTTATTTTGATATTCTGTTTTGTTCCTATACAGTATCCCTGCCCTGTTTCCTTTGTTTCTGAACATGTCCTCATTTGTTCCTATGGTTACATTATTTGCACCTGTCATTTACGTGCTCGTTGATTTATTTCCTGAGTACTATAATTAAATACTGTTCTTTCTGATACCCTTTTTCAGGTACTACACATTACAGTCTGACACAGTTTTATACACTTAAATTAATTTTTTTGATCCATTTTGTGTGCTTTTTGGACAACTGCTTAAAGAAAACATTCACACAAAGAAGGAAAAAGATTCTGTCGTCATTTAGTCACTAAGTCGTTCCCCACCCATGACTTTCTTTCATCTGTGGAACACAAACGCTATTTTATAGTTATTTAACTCTACAAAGACGAAACAAAAGCACCATAAATGAAGTCTCATGTGCTACATTCGTAGTCTTTAAAGTTTAAAGCTTTGTGTGAGGAACAGGACAACATTTAAATCAGTATTCACTAGCAATCGTCCCCTCATCCTCCTCTCAAATCTCATTGGCATTCACATCCACTCAAATGTCACAGCACATCTTAATGTCACTAAAATGTCAGAACAAATGCTTTAGTCTGTTAATAATGTCTTAGAGCTGACCATCTCCATTCCCCTACACCAGGACTAGGCAAGTTCAGTCCTAGAGAGCTGCTGTCCTGCAGAATTTAGTTCCAACCCTAATCAAACACACCTGAACAAGCTAATCAATGTCTTCAGGATTACTAAGGCTATAGGCAGGAGAGGTTTTTTTCAGTGTTGGGGCCAAACTCTGCAGGACCGAACTTGCCTACCCCTGCCCTACACTGAATGGTACTCAATATATGCAGCAAAATTACTTCTTTTATGTTCCACAAAAGAAAGTCATGTTTTGGAATGGCAAGTGGGAAACTTATTAAAAATGTTTGTTTCACAGATCTTCACACATGTTCTCAGTGAAATTGTTTGTTTCCAAACTTCAGATATATGGCACCAGATCTCTCCACTCTGCTCCAAAACAGATGATGGAGTTATGATCTTTCTTGAATTCTCCTCCAGTCTAGTGCACAAAAATATATATAATCAGAAAGTATTTAATGAAATCAGACAGAAATTAAGACAATGACCCAAGAAATCCCCATGGTCATAATGTTAGAGATTCTTCCATTAAAGTTTACTCTAATTGTCTGAACAGTAAATGATAGTTTTTAGGTGAAAGCTTCATAAAGCAGTCTCTGTTGACATCTGCATGTTTGGTATGTCAGTCTTTCTCAGGACAGTTCAGGAAAGCAGTGCCTGATCATCGATCCGGTGATAAAGTCTGACGCAGGCTGGTACACTGTATCCGCCATTAATGAAGCGGGAATGTCCACATGCAATGCCAGGCTGGATGTGGCCAGTAAGTGCATGTACTCTATTTACCTTTTTATCTTGAGACTTGTTCGAAAGTTTGTGAGTGAGTATTATTTAGCTTTTTTCTGAACTTTTGCTTAAACGCTTTGCATTGGCATTGTAAAACATTTTTTATTGATAAAGTTAAAAAGTATATGAATGCATAAGGATTTGTAGATTGTATAGGAAGGTGCTGTAAATGGTCACCATTTCTTTTCCATTTTAATCACATTTTACATAGCCCTGTTTGACAAATGAATTTATAAAAGTACAAACATTCCAAGTTGTCTTTCAATTAAAGGCGCAGTAAGTGATTTCTGAGAAACACTCTTGATATTTGATATTGAGTTCACACGTATATGAAATCAGATATAGTAAATTTATGCTTGTCCGGGGGAAATTTGGCCCGAACCCAGAGTGCTCCCCCTCCTTGCCTGGGATAGAAAACCAGCCAAGAGTGAGGTGATGGGGTGGTGGAGGGATGCTGTGCAACTGTCATGGGACATCGGCGAGGGAAGGCTATATTTATACCGGCTTCCTCTTGTGCTGATTGGTTGATTACCTGAACGTGCTCCTCCAGAACTTTGTTACATAAAACTTCATTTGAAATTGACACCCAAATAAACATATTTGTAGCTCCACCCATTACGTCCAGCAAGGGGGAGCTGGACATCAAGTGCCACCCATTGGCTCTGCAGTGAACAGCCTCTCGAAAAACGTGTTAGGCGTGTGCGTGTAACCGGTCCTACTCAACCCGCTCCCAGCGGGATTCAAACTGTGGTCTCTGTCGTGGGAGGCGGACGCTCTATCAAGGTGGCTAAAGACCGCAACCTCTAGCATCAGTCGCTGGTGCACCTCTTGAGATCAGGGGAGTGAGGTTTACACGCACAGCTCTTATCTAGTGGACTTTGTTTTCAAGCGCTCAAGTCACTCACACATGTGCTGTTGTGAGAAGACAAAAACTGGGCTGCACGCGGATGGTGTACGCTGACATCCACAACACTCCTGATGACAAAAACTGACATAAATTATGTGCACGGACCATTCAAGTAGATATAGCTGCAGACCAGAGAAATCCAAAACAGGCGTCAACTCGAAAAAGAGGCCAGAGGGCCAGAGTCTCCACATGCAAATACGTTCACTTCCACTAAATGAAATTACATTTCAAAATAAAAGTTTGTAAATTAAACACTGTTTTTTGCTGAAAGATTCTTACGTAAAATTTAGGCATATGTTAATTACCGTTATAAAACATGATATATAAATAAATATGTTGGTATAAATAAAAGTATTAAAAAATTTTATCGACATATAGCCAATCAAACTTTAATCTTTAGGAGGGCAATAGATCAGTGAGAGGGGGGTCCTGGAGCATGTGTCCGGTGGCGTTCGGACAGGGACGAAGGGACCTCTCTTCCCCCCAAATTTGAAGCTCTGGTTCCTCACCCCCTAACCAAGATATAAGCGGGAATCCTGTTTCGGAGTTCACAAAGTATGGGGCGTGCTGAAAAAGATGGAGAAAGATCTTTATCATTGGTCGCGAAAGCTGTCTGTCAGGGTGTGGGGAAGGGTTAGGGGTCAGTTTCTGTTGTAGTAATTCACCTTTCTGCACGCCCATTACTCTGACCTTCAGCTATCCCTGTCTCCATGCGGAGGCATTTTAGTGCTGTCAGCAGCACTGAGAGGAGACAGAGTTTTGCAGTGCAACAACAACAACAACATATCTTGGTTGATCTGAAACATAGCAAAACCAAAGTTACTCACGTATCAAGCAGAACCAGAGCAACTTTGGCATCCGTTTGCAGGCCTTCCCGCTTAGGTCTCTTTCAATATTAGGTAGCTTTGCCATTATTAATGCAGGTCCTAGTTCTTGCCTTATAACAATTATTTTTCCAGTTATATTCCTCTTTGGTAATATCTCAGCCATCTTTCAACAGTCTTTCTACAAAGGTCCCACTTGCTCACTCTCCTCCCCATCATGTGTGTACACGCCCCCTACTGCTGATTGGCTCACTCTCTCCCCTCCCCCATCATGAGTAGACACGCCCCCTACTGCTGATTGGCTCACTCTCTCTCCTCCCCCATCATGAGTAGACACGCCCCCTACTGCTGATCGCCTCACTCTCTCCTCCCCCATCATGAGTAGACACGCCCCCTACTGCTGATCGGCTCACTCTCTCTCCTCCCCCATCAAGAGTAGAAACGCCCCCATACTTAGGGCTGCAACTAACGATTATTTTGATAATCGATTAATCGGACGATTATTTTTTTCGATTAATCGATTAATCGGGTAAAACGTTCAATTCGATTTTTTGTTTATTATGACTAAATAAAACCCGGTTACACTTTATTTTAAGGTGTCCTTGTTACAGTGTAATTATATATTTAAGTACAGAGTAATATTAAGTAACTACATGTACTTACTATAGGAATAGGGTAGGATTAGGTTGAGGGTTAGTTGTATGTAATTATGCATAATTTACTGTTATTACTACAGTAAGTACATGTAACATTTGTAACAAGGACACATCGTAAAATAAAGTGTTACCTAAAACCCTAAATTAGGATATTTATGTGTAAAAGTGTACTTTAAAAAGTGCAAAAGCCACACATTGAGTTTTACAAATATCAATATTTGCATTGTTTTTAATGATAATTGCTGATGGCAATGGCAAGTTCAGATGTGAAGATATAAACTAAAAACATCTCAAATATATAATTCATTTAATTTTTATTTAAAATGAATTGAATTATAAGGATAATTTGTAAAAATAAATATAGAAAGACTGAAAACAAGCGTGTGAACATAGAGCCGCAGTAGATCGCGTTTGAAAAACAATTAAAACTTAATAGTAGACAAATGCTATATCAAGAGAACGTAATGGAGGTACGCAGCAAGCTAACAGGCTTGATTAAAAAGACAGGAAAAATGATGCATTAGTGCACAAACATTCGCTGAAAACCACTGAGTACAGTGACTAAAAAACAATATTTTACTGCTGCTGTTATTAACTGCCTTTATATTTAGTGCTTTGCTTTGTAAAGACCGTTTTAATTTAATATTTCTGCGGTAGCACTATTTTAATCCATCACTTATGTTGCGAGCGAACTGATTGCGCAACCTGATGCTCGAGACGCAAAATACAGACATCCCAAGTCTCCCGGAAGTTCTGGAAGTCACCCGCATATTGATAGCGGCTCGCAAATTAGTTCAAACTCCCGGGATTTGAGCACGAAAGCAAGAGCGCGCATGTGAGACAGAAGAGACTGCGCTCCAAACCGTGTAGCGCGAGCGCGCGGCAGAGCAACGGAGGGAGAGAGACCTTGCGTGTGTGCCTCATGAAGCGCGTGTAAGACAGAGAGCATCCTGATTGGCCCGTTTCAACCAATCACCAGTAAACGCTCCCTGTGACATAAGCAGACCAACTAATCGATAATGACATTCGTTGACAACGATTTTCATAATCGATTATTATCGATTTTATCGATTAGTTGTTGCAGCCCTACTGCTGATAGGCTCACTCTCTCCTCCCCCATCAAGAGTAGACACGCCCCCTTCTGCTGATAGGCTCACTCCTCCCCCATCATGAGTGGACACGCCCCCTACTGCTGATAGGCTTACTCTCTCTCCTCCCCCATCATGTGTACAATCCCCATCCTGCTGATAGGCTCACTCCTCCCCCATCATGAGTGGACACGCCCCCTACTGCTGATAGGCTACAGGATTGTTTTGGTACTCGGTCCAAGCCACTCTGTTTTTTCTCTTATTATTTACACAGCCAGGTCTGTGTACAAACACAATATTTTTTTCAGCACACACAAAACAGATATCTAGCAAAAAAATGTCTTGGGTGTTGATTTCAGTTTTTTACAGCATCTCTCAGAAATCACTTACTGCACCTTTAATGTGATCTCATAAGATTGCATGTTTAAAATGAGTAAAATGTTGTTTCAAATATTTTTAGATACATACTGCAGGACAGTGATATCACTGAATAGCATGTTACTACTCAAATATTGAATTATTTTCTTTTAACCTGAATTTGCCAGTTTATTGCTTTGTCTCTCAGCCCTAAATAGCAATGCCAATTTTCTTCTAGCTCGAATGAACAAGACTACCCCTCCTGCCAGATCGATGAAAAGCTTTCCCATCGTAAGCCAGTTTTCCACGTTGAGCACCGAGCCTCGTCCTCGCCACACCGCCCCTCTGTACGAGAGTGAGGAACTGTAGACACTGAAGGGCATCTGGAGACATTATGCAGGATTTACTCTGTAAATGACCCAGTTAGTGTAGTTGCTCCTTCTATCAGTCAAATTCACTTTATCCAGTGCCTCTGATGTTTTCCCAAGGAATGATTGGAAAAAGTTTACTATTCCAGTGGAATCAATAGCCTCGTCCCAACACATGACTTTACTGCTACACTAGTTCTGTTTGCTTGGTTAGAAAAATCGATGATGACCAGTTTCATGTAAAGCTACATATTTGTGAACCCCCTATACAAGGAAACATGTATTTTGTTTCAGATTTACATAAATTAGAATAATGCCTTGATTTCTTTATCATCTGTAATGTGTGTTGTTGATGTAATGTTTCTCAGCTGTGGAAGCTGAATATAGTGTGTGTGCAGCGTCGTCACTGATACACTCTGACGTACACTATTATGTTATATGTTTTGAAAAGGAAATTTTTGCTACTAGAACAAAGGATATGGTCAAATATATTGATTACAGTCCAGAACACAGATATCATTTGTGTTATACATGTGACATGGACATTTGAGTAAACTTCTTTGTGAGAATACTATAAATTTATCTCTGAGGTGTTTTTTTATGACTATCACGTCAAAAAACTGCAACGATGATGAGATAATACAATACAAAATCATAAAAACAACTGCATAATCAACTGAACTACTGTCATTGAGGAGGATCTAGCACACTTATGGCCAGTTCTACAGGTTAGACTGTGTAGATGGAAGTAGAAGAAGTTAGAAAGGCTCTTTTCCAACAGATTTATTACAGAAACATTCTATAAACAAATTATGAAAAAGCCAAGGCGAAAATATTCAGTTAATCATAACCACGTGGACTCATTCATCACATGATTTCTGATCCTTTTCAATACAAATACAGTATCTGTCGTACACAGGACTCAGTGTGAAGTTCCCTTTTATAGCTAAACTTTGATAAAAATGAAATACTGTTGTGACAATAAAAAGTTCTACACAGGGCATACTACACAGTTACAGTGCGCATGAAGAAAAACAATTCAAATTGGCTTTCACACACTCATCACAATGCAGTTAAGTACTATAGATATGGCAAGGAATGGACATCTTCATAGCTAAAGACCCAAGTCAGGTCCATTCTTCATCAGATCTCCACATCACTTTCTTTATCATTATCATGGTCGCCATCATAAAATTCATTCGCAGCTTCAGGCCTGTGAGGAAACAGACGTAGTTGGTCAGGATATTCAATATGCAGTCAAGCAGCTGACATTCGTCAAAATGAAGAGACCAATGCAAAATTAGAGGTTTCTTTGGATTTACTATTTATATCTGTGTTTGAGTAAAACTTTTTTTTCTGAAAAACTACTGACAACATTTCTTCCAAATTTCAAGGTAAACCACGTCATTTAGAGCATTTATTTGCATAAAATCAAATAATGCAAAGAAAACAAGTTTATGTTCGTTTTTAAACAACACAATACTAATGTTTTAACTTAGGAAGAGTTCAGAAAGCAACATTTGGTGGAATAACCCTGATTTCCAATCACAGCTTTCATGTGTCCGATTCTAGCCTTCCTGAAGAAGCACCAGAACATCACCAATCCTCCACCCAACTACACAGTGTGTGTGTGTGTGTGTGTGTGAGACTGGGTTGTAGGACTCTCCAGGTCTCCGTCTAACCATTAGAGGAGCAGGGGCCTGATGTAGAAACGTTGTGTACACACAAAAAGGGCATTGGAATTTGCGTATGCAATTTTCCACGCACATATCAGGATTTATTCAAAAATAGACTAGGCGTAAATATGTGAAAATAGGCGTAAATATGTAAATATAACAAGCTGTGTTATAATGTTTTAACCACAGCGAGGATTGCTTGTGTCATGGGTAACGCTTCCTTTTACAGTCCTGTTACCCATTTACTTACTATGTACTTATTATAGTAATTATAATTACTGGGTAATAACTAGGTACTAACCCTGAACCTACCCCTAACCCATGTACTTACCTTATATTAGCCAGTACTTTCTAGGCAAGTACACGTAAGTACTGTACTGTAAAAGGAAGCGTTACCGTGTCATGATTGGTCTGATTCCGCTTTAAATTGTGTTCTTCTAATTAGCCGAAATATTGTCACGTGAATAATGATCAATGATGCGCAGATTAGAGGATGACACGGGAGTGGATTTTCACTCCTGTCCCGTCCCACTCCCATAGAAAGAAATCTTGTCCCGTCCCACTCCCAGACCAAAGTTTAAAAAATAATCCCATCCCATCCCGCTCCTGGTTAATTGACTCCCACTCCCATCCCGCTCCTGTTTAAACTGACTCCCGCTCCTGTACCGCTCCCATTTATTTTTTTTCTTCAATTAGTGCTTAGTTAATACATAGAATTTGATTTAATCTGCTCTCCATCCTGTTTTAGACCAGCTGCTGAGCCCCTGTTTCTAGATTTTCTCCAGAAAATGGAAGACGGCAAATAAAAGAAAAACAGTACATAGTTCACACCATGTCTACAATAGTTTAATAAACCCAAACAGCACATAAAGCTGGATTTTACTCATTTATTGTTGAGTAAACAATATATTTATAGTTTACATTTATAGTTTCTTTTAATTACATGTTAACGATTTTCATAAATTATGCTCTTGCATAATGAGTCCATCTTAGTTATATGTTGCTGTGTAGGAACAAAAGTGCATCTACATTGTCTGGATTGAGTAGACATGTCATTACTTCTGACTTTGCACTGTAAATCATTTTTTGCCACATCGACTTCTCCGCGGCTGTTAGCTCCCTCCATCACTGCTCTTTGAATTCCAGCGGTAAGCCGTGACAAAAAGCACTGAATGGCTTCTGGGACGGCTGGGTCGAGTAGTTATTTTTTAATTGCGTTACATTGTAGGCGTATTAAAAGGAAACTACAAAATGGTGCATTTACTTTTTTCTTTTTTTTGACGTCTTTGCTATTGGTTGATTCCCGCTCCCGTCTGCTCCCGTTAACCATTTATCCTGTACCGTCCAAATCCCGTGATTAATAGCAAAGATGACTCCCATCCTGCAGGAATCCCACGGGAATCCCGGGACCCGTGGGATTCCCGAAAAAATGTCAGCCTCTAGCGCAGATGGCTTAGCAACAGAGCCTAGACGGCATAATGCCAGACACGAAGGACTCGCTCGGTGACAGAACGGTCCATTGGCCGGTTTGAATAAGTCCGATGACACAGTACTGTACAGCCTCTAGACAGTGGCCGAATTATAACCCCTTCCCAATATTATGAAAAATACCATGTATTTGAAGGATAGACTTTGAAGGAAACTGTAAGATATGCACATTATATTTTTAAAATGTTTTGTCAGTGATGTGCTGAGTAAGAAAATAATTTACAATGCAAAAATAAGGCCATTAAAAACGTATAAACATTCCAAAATATTTGATTACCTTATGGGCAAAATTGCATGCATTTGATTTGTGTAAAGCAAAAAGGACTAAAATAGTAATTAATAATAAAAACTATTTGGCTAGTGGAAAAGATTGGGAATAATTCTTCTCTGAAATGTCTTTTATACAATATTGATTTATTAATTCTAAACCAAGGCAAGAATATAGCCTACTGAATGATTTTCAGCAATGTAATGTGACAGCACACAGTCTGTATCATATTTTTTAATGTCTTGTGTTAAACTTGGTATCACGTGGATGGGAATATGCATGGAAATAATAAGCAGATGATGTTATGCATAGTAAAACTAGGCTCTGTAATCTCCACATATGGCTTCGGGGTGGAGATGCTTCTATCCTCCGCTGACTGGGTTTTATAGAGGGTATTTTGCGCAGGTTCTGCCGTACACGTGGTTTAATAAATCTGAAAACTTTTGTATGTACGCAAATTCTGTCTTTTGAGCGTACGCACACTTTTAGGATGAAAACTACAGAAAGTTTTATACATGAGGCCCCAGGTGTTGGGCAAAGCTGAAAACTGAATCAGGAAGATCTGTCTTTATGACGGACACATATATAGCATTTATATAGTGCTTTTTAACAATATAGATGGTTTTATAGTAGCTTTACAGTGATAATAGGAAATTACAGTAACAGAGATTGTTTGGGCTTTACACTTCACTTTCACTTCCATAACTCAAGCCACGTACAAGGTTATCCTGGGGAAAAAAATGTCTTCCTTCTGCTCCGACTGGTTTTTCCCGCAGGACAAAGCTCCAATCCACACAGCCAGGACAATGGAGCTGAGGATGGAGGAGCACCAGATCAAGACCCCGTCATGGCCGTCACAATCTCCAGACCTGAACCACTGAACACTTCTGGAACGTGATCAAGAGCTTCACCAGACATTAAATAAAGACAAACTGCTGGATGTTTTTCACCAGGAGTGATATAAAGCAAATGTGCCTCAGCAATGTGACCGACTGGTGGAGAACATGCCAGGACATAAGCCGTGACTGGAAATCAGGGTTATTCCACCAAATATTGACTTCTGAACTCTTCCCAAGTAAAAAAAAAAAAATTAGTATTGAGTTGTTTAAAAATAAATTTAAACTTGCTTTCGTTGCATTATTTAAAGTCTAAAAACAGTTGTCATTTTCTGCAAATAAATGATCAAAATGACAATATTTGTATTCAAAATTTGGAAGTAGTATATATAGTAGAAGTTTGGGGTCAATTATTATCATAATTTTTTTGATAAAATAAATAAATTATTCGAGACTTTTACGTTGTTCCCAAAAATTCAATTTCAAATAAGTACATTTATTTCAAATAAAAATCCTATTTTTAAATAAATTATCTTTATGCTGTAACTTTCTATTCATCAAAGAATCCTGAAAAAAGGATATAATAGTTTCAACAACAATTAAAATGCATAGCTGTTTTCAGCATTAATAATAATCAGAAATGCTATAATGCTAAAAAATTCTATAATCAGATAGAATGATTTCTAAAGGATCACGTGACACTAAAGACTGGAGTAATGCCAGGATAAACGCCATCACAGGATAAACTACATTTTAAAATATATTACAATAGAAAACAGTTATTTTCAGTTAAATTGTAATACTAATATTTCACAATATGACTGTTCTTGCTGTGTTTTTGTTCAAATAAATGCAGCCTCGGTGAGCAGAAGACTTCAGAAGAACAGTGTTAGTGTTATAATCACCTAGAGAAGTTCTCTTCGGATCCTCTCTCATCGGGATCTGCCTCATCCGGCCGCTCGTAAGTCAGTATATCAGAGGGAACGTCATGGATCTGAACACTTGGTGCATGATTCAACATCTTCAAGTTCTCGAACACAGTTTGACGAATCTGCTCCAAATACTGCAAAACGAGGTAATAAAGCACTGGTTAGTGGCCACAGCGCTGAAGACGGTCTCCTGAACACCAATGAAACGTTGAAGCACCACCTGAGGTTTCTAACAAATACTCCAACCTTTAGAAGTATTTCTACAAATGAAATCAGAAATCATTTTAATTTACAAACCCCATTTGGGTAAGCCTGTCCTTGAAAATATTCAAATGCCAGATTTATGTAAAAAAAAAACTAAAGTTCAGATGTAAACTTGCG